AAAACCGAGAAACTATAAATTTGGTAATTGAAGTTTTTAAGGATTAAAAAAGACTTATAAATTATAATTATAATATTATTGTTCACAATTGGAATAAAACTATTCTAGCATTTGCCTCTCTTCCTTCTGAAAAACAGCTTTGCTATAATTTAGTTGAAAATTTCATTTTTAAGCGAAAAAAGACATTAGAAGAGGACATAAAAACACTTTATGATAAGCCGTAAAATTAAAATAATAAGGATATATAATAGAAATGTTCAAATGTCTATTTACCTTCATTTTAAGACTGACATATTTTGTATCAGAATGACATAATTTGCAATGACATTTTCTTTGGAGCTATTTTTTTTCTCTAATTAACATGTTTTTTCTTTCGGTTTGATAATAATATTTAAATAATTTTACTAACGGAATTTTATTCATAAATTGAAAATAACTATATTTTAGTGCTTGGTATTTAAACGTGCTCCTAAAATCTTCGATAATTTTTCTGGAATGGGTGCCTACTTTGCCGTCAGATCGTGCCGTTGCACCTTAAACGAGGTTAAAGCAGTTGTTTGCGTTGCATTTGGAATGGTTGTGAAAGGGATATTTCATCGCTTTCGCACGTGCTCGTCTGTTTGTTATCGGCGTGCTAGGGTCGGAAGGGTGTTCTCTGGCAGAGCTCGGGTATAATTTAGCCGCAGAATCCAATTACATGATTCTCCGGGACCACACACTATCTGCCCGCCAACATCTCTCTTCCTTCTGCTTTTCTGCGCGTGTGTGTACATAGAGATATTCTCCTTTTCTCGCCACCGCGCCAGCAAAAGGTAATGCATTCCGACTTTTTATTGGTGGAACTCCCAGGTTGCTTTACCCGGAATTACGTCTGTTCTCGCGCGTTTTATCTGAGAGATAGAGATTAGATATCCTGGGTAGGATTCAACACGGACACTTACCACTTATATCCCCATCAACACTTTTAAGAAGCGTGTTTTTTTTTTAATAGAGGATTTTTACGAGACAAGAAAAATTAAAGATATTTGTTAAAAAAATTCTTGTGAGATTAATTTAAAATCACTAACAATTTTATTTATTTTTATTTTTTTTTTTAGAAAAAAGGATTTAATTTTAGTTCCGTATATATTATCTGACTAATATGAAATTAACTTTTAATTGCTAAAATATAATTTTGTATTATATCTTTCCTTTTTTTATTTTTTTTATTTATTTTTTTTTAAAGAAAGTTATTTATTAATTTATTTTATTTAAATTTGTAGCCAAGATCTGAAGTAATTATCAGACGAATTGCTTCAAATTCAAAGCTCTTAGTGTGTACATATCAAACCTGCAAATTTTTTATGAAATATAGTAAAATATTTTTTCATCTTTTTCATTTCAAATAGAATGTAATTTTTCATTAATTGTAGGAAAATTCGTGAGCTTGGATCAAATTTATTTAAGATTTGATGGTCATGAAAATTAATCTTATTTTGGTTGTAGAAGAACAAGGAATTTGTCATTATTTTGCTATGATGTATTTTCCCCAAGAGAGTAAAAAAAAAAGGAATTTGAGTGGAACGTTCTATATGCAAATAATATAAATATCGAAATATTTCCGCCATATTAAATTTTCTCGCGTATAAAAGCCATGAAGAGCTAAAAATGAGAATTTTATAAGAAACACTGGCAACAGTTGCCTATTTTCCTTTTCATCCCTTTTCTCCGATCCTTTTTTGTGCCAGCAGCGCAGCAGAGCCCAAAAATTTTACATGTATCGGAAATTCTGGTGCGCACGTTCCATTGGTAAAAGTTAGTCGAGTGTGCGGAATATATTTCAGATAGAAAACGGACCATATGTTGTCATCCGGGCAACTTTCATAAATAAGGCGAATAAATCCGGCCGAGGCATATTTCAACTCTGCCATTGGTCAGCGGCAGAAGCGGCGAGGACGTGAGAGGGAAAAACACGTCCACGGACTGAGTTATGGGCTTTTCACAAGAGTCGCTTAAAATGAAGTATTTTAGACATGGATTCTCAGGAATTTTTTAATAAACTCTTAATTAAGAAACGGAGATTATTAAAGTGCAGAACCTGAAACTTCGAAATACTTTACTTACAAAGTTAAATCTTATTTTTATCTCCTATTAATTATAAGAAGAAAAAAGGCTTTTCTCTTCTTCTCTCCGAAATTCAAGTGGGACAATTAAATGGACAAATCCTCTTATCTTTTCGTGAAATTAATCCTCTCAAATAATGTCTGAAGAAACTTTCACGAGCCGGTATTTCCTTGGGCGAAAAGCAGCAGGAAGAAGAAGACTCCTCCCTTTGGTGGCTTTTGATTACGGCACTTTCCTCGCTAGTCGAGTCTCTGGTGCGGTTTACTTTAATCATTTAATTTTTACTTGTCTCTGTACTTCAAAGGCGGCGTCACCGCACACGCTGCTTGGCATGCTTTGAATGCAAAAATCTGCGCGCCAAAGTCTCTCTTTTGGTAGGGTGTGCAAGTTTTATCTGCAGGCTTAAACTTGGTCCCTGAAGAGCGAATGTGTTGGATCAAAAGCGATCCAACCAAAGGAGGTGACGAGGATGCAGAGACTGAAGGTTCAAAAAGATCAAGAGGTTAATTTTTCTTGTTTATTTTGTTCAAAATCCGGCATTAATTATCTTTAGCCTTAGCCCAAGAGTGTGAATTGAACTGCCAAGTGGTTTTTTTTATGCCAAAAGGAGTTTATTTTTTTCTTTCTTTAAAAAAAAAATTATTTATGTCATCTTTACGATGTGGCTATATTTTCACAGTAACTTAATCATCACTGACTATAAAAATTAGAGAAATCAGAATTTTTGTCTCAACAATTTCAGGTTCTCCATTATTAATTTACCCCTCAATCTAATCAATTAGAACATCCACATTCATTGCATTGCTGCACAAATAGCGATCGAATTCGCTTTGCATGCAAGTAGTGTGTCTAGTGCCAAAGGACTAATTGAAACTCGCATCAACTGCATCAATCAATTAGCGTCGACCTTGTTGTTGCCGACGGTGCACAAGGGAAACTATTCTGGCCGCACCTTGGCCGTTTGTCGGGACGTAAAGAGAATTGCCGTTTAACCTCATTATTGGTAACTATTCTGCGCAAAGGGTTGCACGTAGGTTGCGAAGTTAGTTTCACTCTTGGAATTTAGACAAAGAGAGCAAACCATTGAAAGGGAAGGAAAGAGCGAAGGGCGACCTATTATTCAGTTCAAGTGAGAAGCACGGCTGCTGCCTTGCTGATAAAATGGCACAAATGGAAATCTGTGTGCATGATGCTGAGATATTTTAAGCGACTCAAAATGTCGGTGGAGTGAAGCAAAAAGCAGATTAAGCCAATATACAAATAATGAATAACTATACTAGAATAAATCTAACTTGCGCATTATGAAGTTCTCGGAGTTAAATTGTATTTTATGTTAATATGGGATCAAAGGCTGCACACATAATAATTATTAATAAACTTACAGGTTAAATAATGAATTTTCTAAGTCATCTGTAAAAAATATTGATATGAAAAAAGCAAAAGTTAGATAAGTAAATTAAAGAAAAAATAAATTATAGAGCTTATTTTTTTTAATAGTGAATAAAAATTAAAAAGATACTTAAATAAAGTAAAAAAAAATAAAACTTTTAAATTTTTAAATTTTTTATTTATAGTATAATTGGCATAATCAAAATAATGCCTTTATTATTTAAATATTTTCTTCCTGAAATCCTCCTACAAATTCATACATGTTTGAATATATCATGAACAAAAGACAATAACGCCAAAAAGAAATACTAAAATGTAAAAAAAAACCATGACAGAGAATTTCAGTGAAGACATACTGTAACATAGAAATAATAATTCCCTGATGATGTAGTTAAAACTTCGACATTTCAATTTAATTAATGTCGCTACTATATTTTTGCCATGATAGAAAAACCACCTTTGTTATACAAGTTCACTCTGTAAAAGAAATTAAATGTTAATCTACGTACATACAATCATCGGGATATAACGTGCTGGGAATAAAACCTGATAACCTGAGATCACCGAGCAAAATACACACGGGGAAAGCAAACTATAAAAATGAAAGAGCATCATTGCCTTGTCGAGCATGCTCGGTGTTTGGCTGATATCTTGTTCTCCCGTAGGTGGCAGGCACTTTCGCAGATAATAATAATAATAATAATGCGCTTACAATGGATTACACGTGCTGAGACCGAACGCAACACAGCTAGCGCTAAATTGCCTCAGCCTCTGGTGCCACCGCTGCTGCAGTCTTAATGAAAAGCCGCCATTTCTCTTGGTTTAATCTTTTCCGGGGAAGAACTCGAGCAACGGCAAAATGAAGCTGCCTGCTCTAAAATTAATTTCACGGTAGAGAATAAGGAAAATATCAGCAGAGCACAAATATTGTCACATCCGACCAAAAATATAAAAATTTTCTCTGTCAGTTTAATCTTGAAGAATTCAAATGTGGCCTTAATTGGTGCAGAAAATTTTTAAACATGCAGAAAAGGTTCAATAATTCAAGCATACCTAAGGTGAAATAATTGGTGACATTCACACTAACTTATCAATTTATTATGAACGCATTGTTTTTGAAATCTTTAAATTTTGGACTCCACAACAAGCAAACCTTCTTCTTTCAAATCGTTTGCTATTGTCTGAAGTAGGACCCAAATGTGTAAATAAACAGATAAAGAAGAAGTTCCCTAGACGCTGTTTGGGCATAATCTAGAACAAAAAGTTCAAGTGTTGAGCTCATCTAAAAAAACTTCATGTCACTTTTTTTATCAGAGAAAAAATATGATATTTTTTAATCTTTGAGCCTAGGCGCACCTATTGATTCCGCGCTTTTTTCAAGAAAGTCAAAAGATATATACGATCTTTCTGTCTGTCCGACAGATTAGATTTTATGATATACGCTTCTAACGATCCGCATATTTGTATTTAATTCATTATCTATGAAGTGTCGCTTTGAACCAAAGCATATAAAAGCCAATCTTGAGTGGCAATATTAATTAAACAGAACATGTCTCTCTTGTGGCTGTCAACTCTTGCGCTTCTGTGCCTCGGCGCACAGGTTGAAAATTCCTCAGATATTATATTTTAATTATTATTCATTATTTATTTCAAATTTCAATAATCAAAAGTTATTAAGCCATTTTTTATGTTAAATCTGTGTCTATGTCATATTTTAGGGGCAACCGTTTGCAAAGAACCTGACAGAAGATGTTTCGGCAGCGACACTCGAAGTTCGGGGACTACAAGTGCACAGGACTACTTATGCGACAACTGTGGATTCATATGCCAACGATGTGGATACGTACGCCACTGCTAGAGCACAAAATATCGTAGATGAACTTGTGAACCTTCAAGTATGATTTTTAACTTAATAAATTTACGTCGATTAACATGATCCTGATGTAATCAGCTCACCTTCCTAGAGATCAATAATATCAATGATCTTTTCGGGACTGGCCTGGATGACATTAGTAGAGCCAACCGGCGCATCAACGACCAACTTCGACGAATTGAGCCCACCCTCAATGCTGCAATAACAGCACTGGAAGGCAGCAACTGGGTCGAATTGAACACCGTTTCGGGAAACCTGAGAAACCAAATTGCGTCTGAAGAGACTACATACAACGATGCTGTTGCCAGGACCAATAGAAACGTTGCTGATATTGATGCAGCGTTGAAGTCTGCCACGGAAAATCAAGCGGTTTGTTAAACAACTGAAAAAAAGCATTGTTCAACTGTTTTATAATATTTCTCACAAATTTCTCAGAACGTTGAAAGCGTAGTTCAAATTACCTCCATGTGGAAAGAGCTCACTACTTTCTTGTCTGGAAAGAGTGTCGCTGACGACCATGAGATCTTTATAGTGAGGTCCGAACGTACACTGACCGCTATCCAGACAGTCTTGGATGGAGCTCCAGCAGCTGCTCTAATGTATTAGCGCCCCTTTAAAATTTGAATAAAATAAACAATAAGCGATCAAAAAGTTGTGTAATAATACATTTTTATTTCTCTTACAATTTATTAGCCAACCGAGAAGATTTTAATTGTTAAAATGCATTCGAACTTAGGGAATAACGATTTTTCTGGCTATTTTAGCCCTTGAGCTAAAAATCTGCATGAGTCAATTTGATGGCAATTTTCATTTCATTTAACAATTATTTGCAGAGTTCATTACGGTATACTTAATATATTTGAATGCTTGTTAAACCCATTAGACTTAACCTTACTGCCCAAGTCAGCAGAAAATATGATATTATAACATTTATCTGATCGTAAACAAATTTTAACAAACAAAATTAGCTATTTTTGTGTGACAGGAACGAAGAGTTCCAGGCCCAATTTTTTCTATTATATTTTAGAGACTTTTGTTATTCATTGGTTACTAAACCTCATAATTATTTTGGACATTTTGGATATAATACAGCAGTCTATGTGAGGAATATGTATTTTCTGATTGTGAATTATTAAGCATGGATTATTAAGGGAAATTAAAATAATAGTCACATATTTTTAATTATATAATATATATTTAACCAAATGAAAATCATACCATCTTAATTAAATTGGTAAAAACTAAAAATTATGAGTTACACATTTGGCTTGTGGGAAACAATTGGGTGGAAAATTTTACAGTGATTGATTGGTGCCAATCGATCATTCAAATTTAATTTATACTTTATATCGTGTTCTGGTTTTCTTGTTTTCAACACACTCAAGAAGCTGATCATAGTGATTAATAGTGGATCACTTATTTGTCTGTGCATAGTAGCTCAATCCGTCACACGGCAAGCTTGAAGTGGAGCTTCAAATTTGAAGTGGTTTGTACCATTTGCGCACTCTCTAGTGTTTGGTTTGGTTAGATTTTGTAAAAATTCTGCTATCAGTAATCATGCACTGCTTTGTGTGCGTGTCCACGTGATATTCGAGTGTCTGTGCCTATTTGTATTAATATCATCTCTATTACAATTCTCCAGATGATCATGTGCTTAGCTCCTTATTTTAGTTTAAAAAAAAATTAATTTATGAAATAATATTAAAAAAAAAACCATTTTGCTTTATGAACGACAAAAATAAAACTAATAAATTTTTTTAATGTTCCCATTTAAAAAAAAGCAACTCTTATGCTATCAAAATCAAAATACATTTTTATAATCTTAGTTGAACGTCGCACACCTATGGTGTTGTTTAATAAATTAAATTCATCATCATAATCTTAGTTGACAATTGAATTGTATCTTGTTTTTAATATAATGCGTCTAAAAATATGTTAAAGACATAATATGAAAGCTGCAATTTAATGATAGGTAAAATAAATTTATCCACCTGCTTTAATTTTATTGAAAATTTAATCAGAATTTTTTACTTTATTTAATGTTGATTTGAAGTTTTAGGATAATAGATAAGATAACTTATTTTTTGGACAAAAAAAACCAGATGTCCCCGTTGTCAGTTAAATAATTTTAGTTTTACATTCCCCTAAAATCACCAACGCCAATTTTATGAAGAATCCGTCCACTTTTTTTATACACTATCGCCGCAAAGCTCTGCATGCCGGTACGCGCTTCGGTCACTCCCGAGACACATTAAAAAAAAAATCAAATCGATATATCTCATCTGCATATTCACAGTTTTTTTTTGGGTCTGACATTCAAACAGGAGCAATCAATTTAGGTCTCAACAAAGAAGCCTTATTTCAATTAAATAGAGTCCTAAATCAAAAATTTAAAGTTTGGTTAAACAATTGCGAATAAAAAATTGATAAAAATCGCCTATTTCCCCCCTTCCTAGTAAAATTGTTTCCTTATTTTTTTTTATCCTTTTACAAGGCAAGTAAAATTTGATGTTTTTAGCCAATGTATGATTTTCTTCTGTTATATTTTTTCCTGAACACATTTTACAGGTGTCAGCAAAGAAATAATAATATTAGTTTTGGTGAGTTAACAGTCAAGAACGTCAATGTTCCATAAATTCAGATCAATTATCGTAAAAAACCAGTTAACACGCAAATTGCATGACTTAGTTCGAAATTATTATTTAATTGGATTTGTAAGTTAATAGTTGACGCATTTCAGTTTCGCTAATAGTACAAAAAATATGTATTGCACTTTTTTATTAAATATTTTCTATATTGGCTCCTTTTTATTTGATAAAACTTGATAATTAATCGTACAATCAAAACTTTACGTTTGGTTGAACAAGTAAAACTTCAACGATACATACAAATATTATAAAATTTGCAAGATTCCGTGACTATAAAATGATATATCTCAGAATATAGATTGTTTTATATTTATTCATCATTTTAACAATAATTTCCAGCTTTCGCCTGCTCAATAACAACAAGTAGAGCTTCATAAGCAAGCCCTGCACGGAAGTCGTAAACAATCTGAGTGTTTTCGATGATGAAGTTCTGAGCGTACAGAAGATCAGTAATGGTGTTCAGTTCGACCAGGATATTAATCGCCGGCGTTCCACTCTGCAAGTGAATTAAATTGAAAATTGAAGAGCAGAAAATTTAAAAATAAAGCGTACCTGGCCTTCGATGGCGCTGCGAATTTGGCCATCAAGACTGACAAAGTTTCCGGGAACATTTATGCTCATGACGAGCAAGTCATCGTTGGTGGTGTTGTACTGCGATACCAAACTGTCAGTGGCGTCTCCAAGGATCGGAAGGTCCTGCTGCAGAGCCGCGTTTGTTTTCACAACCTCCAATCGAACTAAAACCAAGCTTTCTATTCCACCGAAGACGGAATCGGAGGCCTCCTTGGTGCCGTTGTCTATGGCGACGATCAAGTCAGCCACAGTTTCATTGCTGAGCTAAATTATATAATTTTAAATTACAAATTTGTTACTTTTTCTTTGAGCAGAAAGAATAATCACCAATAATTTTAACTTTATATTAAATTTTTAATTTGTTAATTTGTTTCAAAATGAAGATGCTTCATTTCTGAGTTTTAATTACAACATCAAATGATACCTAGCAAGAGGAGCGACTGAAATTAAGTAATTCTTATCACAAATTAAGTCCTCAGTTGTCCTAAGATAAGGTTGCTGTGTATTTGCAAAGTTAATACTTCAATTTAAATCTCTGAGAAATTAGGAAAAAAAGCAAGCTTATTATTAAAAAAATTATCAATTTAAAATAAGTAAAAGAAATCCAGTAAAAATACTGAATCAGCATCACTCACGGGCAGAGAGTCAAGGTTTCTCTTTATGCTTGCGTAGCGGTTGGCGATGTTGAATGTGATTTCGTCGCGGAAGTTACCAAGATTTCCAATGTATTTGTCCACCTCAGAATTAAAGTTGCCCAACGCGGTGGTCGCCGAGTTGATGTCGGTGTTCAAATCCCGACAAACGGGACCGGCCAAAGCCTTTTGTATTAAAAAATTTAATAATATATTTTCAATGAAATTTAATTTTGTCGATTTACCTGAGCGACGCACAAAAGTGCCAAGGTGACGTAAAGCTTCATGTTTTACTCTTTATCAAATCGACCGCGATGAGAAATGCTGATGATCTTTTATAGCCACGACAATCAGTGGCCCCCACCAAAATTAATTGTAATCTTCAGTGAGCTCTTGAGAACGTTTTCATTATTGATCAATTCAATTGGACCGGAAAGATAATCTCTGTTATGACAAACGATAGTTGTGACAAGACAGATAAAAAAAATAGTGTGAGAGAATGGAAATGTGCATAAGTAACAACCAATGACATGAATTATAATTTTAATTCAAAGGCAATGAACCTTTGTAAAAAATTTGTAATTTGCCAACATTTCAAGCCTCTCGCACTCCCTTAAGCACGGATCTTTTTATGGCTCATAATTAGAGGGGAGGAGATTTTTCTTTTTGCAAGTCAAACTAGAATAATATATAATAATTATATGATCTTGAATTTCAGAGGCCTGATTTTGAGATGAAAATTAAAACTAGAAAATAATTAAATTTTTATGAGTTAGATGATCATTTGCATTTTTTATTCCAAAACTTCAATCGTTACTTAAGTTGCATTTTTTTTATAAATCAATAGGTTTGTATGGTTTAAGATTACTTCGTCAAGTTCAATTTGGATTGCTCATTTCTGATATATTTATTAATATTTTTGATGCAAAATTTGAAAATAGCTTTTTTTTGTATAATTATTAAATTTTAAAGTGCATTAATTAAGGGAGTTCTAATTACATAACCTGGGCCACTCAGTCAAATGTATCACGGTATGCAATTTCAATGCCAAAAATAAAGAAGCCTGCGCTGCCTGCGCCCAGTTAATTCTATTGAAACGCTCTTTTTCATTTATGTAGATATAAATAAAATAATACAATATAAATTAAAATTACAATTTTTCAGCAAAGAAATTGGTAATTGAAGTGACATTTTTGGAGTGAAGAAAACGCGCTTTGTTGTGGTGTTGAAAATGATTTGTTGTTTAAAAATTATAGGACCTAGACCGTAACTGGTAAAAGAGCAGCTTTTTTTTTAAATATAAAAACAAGGACAAATTCAATTGTCTTAACTTCATTTTTCGACAAGTAAAGACTCCATTTTGTCCGAAAAAAATTTAAAAGGCAATTATGTTCAATTAAATGATATTCAGTTTCTGCATGATGTGTAAAATTAGAAATATACTCTGACTGCGTCACTCGGGGCTGCTTGTTGGGGAAAATATAAATTAATCCCAGGTGGAGCTTGGGATGAATTTGAAGTGCTTGATTCAATTTGTAGGTAACTCAATAATAATTTGGGATGCACGAGACGCGCGGCGGCAATTAATTGACACGCTAACTACGCGAGCAGTCAACAATCGGCGCAATCAAGCTTAAACCAACCCTTCCCAGCAGAACGGGGGGCCTAAAGTGAAAGCTGAGGGAGAGATTTGGCCTTGTGAATGTTCTACATAATCATAATTTCAACCTGCTCAAGCTAATTTTGAATTCAATCTTCACATTTTTGCAATTTTTAAAGTAAAAATAAAAAAATATTTTCTGTGCCAAACTTCAACTGAACAGAAATTCGGGGCTTGTCACATTGTGCTATGCAATGGAGAATTAAACAAAATATTTAAATATATTAAATTGCTAGTTTGAAAGTTCAAAACTTTATTTTGAATTATTTTAATTTAGTTCTTCTACAATTATTAATGGAATAATAAACTTGTTCTGCAAAAATTGGAGCTGTCATTGAGATTAACACATATATGAGCCATAATAAAATTGTGGAGAATCTTATATTTATCTAGTTTCTAGTTTTGCTACCAATATTATGGTTGAATTTATGTTGATGAGTAAATATAATTTGGTTTTATAATATGTTTTTCTGACAATGAAATAAAATATATGAGGTAAACGATGTTTGGTGCGATTTACTGATGATATTTATCACAATTTCACAATGATGTTTCCTGCTAAAAAAAATTATATGATTATGTTTACAAAACTACGTCAAAAGTCGCACTCAAATGAGTTGAAAATAAAATCGTATATATGTGTCCCAAAATTAACTTTATTTTCTTTGAAATAAATCTGAACAAAAACAATTATAAATTTGTTTGTGAACAATGTGATTGTAACATTTGGACAAATGGTAATGTTATCAATTGCAAGAGTCATATTTGTGTTATTTTCAATCTCAAGGGCCGTATCTCTGACTACGCCATTTGTGTGAATTTTGACAATTCGGGCTAGCGCGAATCAGATTTGTCAGTGCCTGCAGGATAAAGTTTGCGCGACGATTGTTTGCGAGATTTCACTCGTCGGCGGTGCTTTTTCATTTTGTCACGTTCGCACATGTGACAAAAAGGGCCGGGGCCTCACGTTCTGAATACATTTGCCCATTATTTGCATTCTCGTTAGGCTGCACTCCTGCCTGCTGACGAGCAGAGGGAGCGCGAAAAGTCGGGCGCGTGCAACTTGGGCGGAAAAGCCCTCAGGTCAAAAATAGGTTAGCGCGATGATGGGAACGAGAAGCACGTCGGCCGCCGCTTTTTGCGACCTGCTGTTTTTCCCTCGCCGCCCGGCTTGTTGATAAATTGCGGCGCAATGACACGGCCCCTCTTCTCAAGTGCGAAAAAATTTGATCTTTATACAAAATGGTCCATCGCAGCTTTTTTCTCATATCATCAGCTCGCTAATCCATAATTTTAAATAGTTTTTTTTTTTGAAAGAAATTTGAATGTTTTCATGCCAGCATGGAGATAACTTTTATTAAATATTGAATGAAATATAGTTTTTTTTATTATTATTATTCTTGACTGTAATTTAAAAGCTTATCCTGGGGTGCAGGCAAACCTTACTTGCCATTCTTATTGTTCGGCGAACTTCAAGTTAGAATAGGCCAGCTATTAAGTTAGGCTTTTGGGTCTCCCTCATATCAAATTGATTTTTAATTTTTATGAAAAATGATATACTCGAAAGCCACACGAGAAAATAAATACCTACCTGCAATTAAATTAAACATGAATCCTCAAATATAATATCTTCCTCAAGATTTGTTCATCATTACCTAATTTCTGTTTCATGCAAATATAAAGTTTTTAAGTTATAATAAGTTAGCGTTTCAAATATTTTACTGATTTTCTTTTAACTTAATTTCTCTCTTACATCTACTTGCTCAAATTAAAATGATTTAATAATTAATTTTTTGTTATGTTTAAAGCTAATTGTGTTGTATTAAAAATATTATCAAACAATTATGGAAATATTTTTTTGGATAAAACTTTTATTAACTTCGGGTGCCTCAACAAAAATTAATAATACAAAAATAAAACAATAATAATAATTTTTGTTGATTAATTTTAAGTATTTCCGCAATAATTTTGGTTTTGTTAAAGGCCAGTGTTTTGCCAAGTTTCTTTTCTGGTCCAGGGTATGACATACTGAAAACCCCGAATGAACAAATCAAACAATCCATGCCATCTAGAGAGCACGGCGCGAGGAGCTTTTCCGTTTTTCCGGCAAGCGCGCGCAGTGCTGACATCCGCGGGGAAACCACGAAACACAAAATTAGCATTATAACTAGCGCCTTAAAAAGCGGAATGCCAAATTTTAATTTTGAACTCAGCCTAGCAATAGGTAGGCGGATTAATTAATGAACTCAAGCATTGTCTTGAGATGTATAAATATTTCTTAATATCCCCGACTAGATTGACAGTTTGAAGTCAGACCCAAATGAGTAAATAAGATAAAAAATTAATGGTTTTTGTTTAAAATTTATAACCAAACAGGTCTCAAGTGCCACTTTCATACTCACTCGAAAAGTGTCACACGGCTTTTTTATGAGAGCAAAAATTTGACAATTGTTATACTTTGGATCCCAGCGGTTTTGATTAAGAACGAAAATTAGAAAAGGTTTGTTGTCATCATTGACAGAGAACACAGATAAAATTCCCAGACACAAACTTGTAACGTTCCGCCTATTTTTCATCATTATCTCTACAAGTTTCGGTTTGGATCAAATCATATAAAAGCCATTGTGGAGCCGTAATTTTTTATTAAAACGAAAATGTCTCTCTTGTGGTTGGCAACTCTTGCGCTTCTTTGCCTTGGTGCAAAGGTTGCTGTTTCCTTATTTTTATTTAATTATTAATCTTTCTTATATAAATGAACAGCTCACCAGAAATAAACGAGATTATTTTTTATTAAATACATCCAAAAATTAACTGTATTTATTTCATGTTTCAGGGGCACCCAATTGCTAAAGCCTTGGATGACGATATTTTGGCAGCGAAACTCGAAGTTCAGGGACTTGAAGTGCAAAGGAGCAGCTATGTAACGACTGTGAATAGATATGCCGATGATGTGGATACGTATGCCACTGTTAGAGCACAAGATATTGTAGCTGAACTTGATAACCTCCTAGTGAGATTCAACATAAACCAAATTGAAAATAATGGCAATAATAATAATAATCTTGTTATTTTTGACGCAGCTCTCCAATCAAGATAAAAATAATATCGACAATCTTTTGAATAATGGTTTGAGGGACATTAGTAGAGCCAACCGTCGCATAACCGACCGACTTCAACAGATCCAGCCCACCCTCAATGATGCGTTAACAGCACTGAACAGCAACAATTGGGTCGAATTGAGCACCGTTTCGACAAACCTCGGAAACCAAATTGCTTCTGAAGAGACTACTTACGACGACGCTGTTGCCAGGACCAATAGAAACGTTGCTGATATTGATGCAGCTTTGCAGAATGCGTTTGTGGATCAAATGGAGGTTTAAAAAACTGTTAATGGTCTATTTTGTTTAACTAATACTTATTCCAAATATTTTACAGAACTTTGACAGCGTAGTTAAAATTACAATCATTTGGGATGAGCTCATTACTTTCTTGTCAGGAAAGAGTGTGGCTGACGACCATGAGATCTTCAAGGTGAGGTCCGAACGTACACTGACCGCTATTCAGACAGTCTTGGATGCAGCTCCAACACCGGCCCCTATGTTTTAGTACAATTTATTTGTTTAACTAAAATAAAGAAAATATGGCACAAATCAAAAACTTTTAATTTTTTTTTTAATAAATTACAAAAACCTTTTAAAAAGAGATATAATAAAAGCGATAATAAAATATGTTTTATTTACAAGGAGGACGCTTCCCTCCTATATGTATTTCATACATTTTACTAGCATTCCAGAAAATTTATAGCGATTCCAAAGTCCCAAAGGCATGCCAGCTTTCATCACAATCGGCATATCTCATCTATAAAAGTACCTTTTAAGAAAGTAGAAAAGGTTCATATTAATTAATTGGGTTGATCAATATTTTTTAAATTGATTGATAAATTTTCTGTAAAGAAAGACCTAGCTAATAAGGCCAAATTATCAAAAATAATTAATAGTAATACCATTTATGAGACCTAGTTGTTATTTAGGTCAATAAACACAATTTGCAATTAATTGTAGTTTTGCAATTAGCTGCGGATATAAAAAAAAATTTTAAATTTTAAATGAATAAGATGTTTTCCTATTATATAATCCTTTTCTTTTTTAGTTGCTAATTAAGTTTATTGGTGTAGCACAAGGCAATCTCTGCCTATATCGAGATACATCATCCAAATATTCAAAATTATAAATGAAAACTACAAACAAAATTTGAGTTAGAAAATAATATACACATACATTTACTTGTAAAAACTTTTCAGAAAAAAATTAATGCATGTAAAATTTACACTTTTTTATAAAATCAAAAATTTGAATTTAATTTTGAATTTTAATGTAGCGACAATCTATTTTACTCCATGAAATTAATCTGAGCAAAAATTTTGACAAATGAAGCAATATGTTCTAATTGTTACCAAAGGCAAGAGCTAATCAGCGGCAACTTGACTTAATAGAGAACAGTCTGTCAGTCGATCACTTGGTCTATTCGAGAGGTCTATCGTGCACGTGTTGCTCAATTTGTCACTTGACCATGCAGCGTGAACGGAGCATCGATCATATTTCAAGTGAGGCGTCTCTAATTCGAAATCATAGTTTTCGTATCACAAAAACAAAAGTCAATCTGATAACAAAGGTTAGTTGGTAGTTGATGCTCGATTAAAAAGAAAATTGTGTTTGTCTCCAGGAGGAAAATGAGTTTGAACAAAATCAATGAGCGATGCAGGCCTTCCGTGTCCCAAGGACGTCACGGAGGGGAAAAAATGCATTTTTAACAAAGGTCGCGTCTCGAATGGACGACCACCGTTTGACATTTATTTGTTTCCATTTGACCTACATATGAGAGGACACTTTGCATTTCTCTTCCGTTTTCGGCTCGGTGGTATTTTCTGCAAATATCACATTCAGTGAAGAGAAGAGATGGAAATTCAATCACAAATCTCCTCTTTTGGCGATTTGAGTGAACAAAAGCTTGTGCGTCCGTTTTCGGCAATCTGACTTGCGATCTGCATGCAACTCACGACCTGTGCAAATATTGTGGCAAGGATTACAATACTTGTGTTTGCTCTGGAGTGATGCTGAGATCGATAGTAGTTCGCGCTGCAAATCAAATAGCAACTTCTTCTCTTTCAAAACGCTTGAGTTTCTTTTAATGAACAACAGGAATAAAGAAGAAATGTCAGCATTATCCATTTTATTGGAATTTTTCTGTAACAATTCTACTAGTACCACTCGCAAATAGCAAATAATACATTTTTAATTAATTATCGAAATCTTATTATTTTGATAAAACTATTACAACCAAACCAAATATATAAACAAAGTTAATTATTTAATTTTAATCTATTTAATTAAATTTGATTCTTTCTTCCTCTCTACATTTTGCAGAAATTTCAAATAATTTTTTGTTTTCAAAAGTTTCACGTTGCAAGAAAAACAATTTTTAGGAGGATAAAAATGAATTGTTGAACAAAAAGGCAGTTAAGTGAAGAGTTCTTTAAAACTTCCGAGATCAATTCCGCCGCTTGTATAATAAAATTGAGTTATTGTTGGTGTGCAATATTGGTTAAAAAGATGAAAACATGAATAAATTATAAAAAGCTGAGACTCAAGTAGATTTCGAGCAGAAATGATTTCATATTAAATCTTGTTCAAAATTAAATTACAACTTATTGATATGCTAGATGCAAGTAAGTGTATAAGCTAAGGATTAGTTTTACGCATCATGTAATATTTATGGAGGAGGAATTAACTAAAAATAGAAATAACAGTAGAGATGTCTTTTTTTGCGTACCGGTCATCTTTATATTTCAGTGAGAACAATTTAAGCACGTCAACTTTGATATAAACTATGTGCTAAATTTCAGTGAATTTAATTTATTATTTGTTTTTAGAAAATTTAGTAAATATTCCAGCTTATTCAGGCATTCAAATTTAATTATTTTTCTCCTCTTGAATATTTGAGTTAAGTAATTACTTGAATGTTTTGTTTATAAAACCTGCAACATGTAAAAATTAAAGAAAGAGATGTTGTGAGGATATAATGGAAATGACAGTTTTGTAGAATCGCGAGCATTTCATCCATTTAGAGACAGAACTTGAGTGTCGCAAAGCGGCACTTTTCTCTTAAAAAGCATTTTTTCCTTCGTCTCCACTTTTCACCGTTGACGTGCACGTGAAACCAGCAGCAGTCAGACGCAGAGTTAAACGCCACGCTGTTGTACAAGAATAAAATATACGCGGTTTGAAATTCACGAAGAAAAAAAAATCGCCAGCAAAAAAAATGAAAAAAAGTTGCTTTCAGCGAATTGGGCGGCTGCGAGCGATCGCCGCGTAACACAGCCGCTCGCTTTTCCATATTCAATCGATTACTTTGTCCGAGTCACGGAATGCTTAAAAATTGAGCATCCCCAGTGAATAACATGCGAGCTTTCGGGACATCCGCCACGCCACGGAGAGAAAGAGTCGATTTTATATAAATATGTATTTCGTCATTGCTGAGGAAATCGTACAGCGATATACATTTTATATTTCTATACAAAAAGAGTTTTCTCGTGACTGCACAACCAAATCTGCGCCCTTTACATAACTCCCAGAGAAATACTTGCTCTTATTCTACCTTTATCGATATCTTAAACACATGTTATTCGCTTATGGAGAAAAGTAACATTATTTTACCCTTAACAGTATCACGTTAATACGATGTTAATGTGAGTCTGAATGGTACTATAAGGACAGAATAATACGTCTTTAAGTCTAGCGGGTATAGGTCCGTAGCGTTGCTAGGTACCTCTTAAAAACGTCTTATTTTACCATTATTTGATACTTCTTATACTATTATGGGCCCTCACGGCCACTCATATTATTCTAGTATTCTAGCTTTTTTGCTGACGTCACTCATTTGGTGACGTCACATCAGGGAATAAATTTGCATAAATCAGAGTAATAAGTTTTCTACACAATGATTTTGTTTATTGATAAATTAACCATCAAATCACAAATAATTATCACAAATTTTTGAGAAGAAATTGGCACTCAAGGAGACAATTATGGAAATGAAGAAAATGGGCTTTGTCCTCATTGAAAAAATTATTTCATTTATTTTTTATTGTTTTTGTATTTTTTTAGTGAGCTCCGTTTTTGCTCATGAAATAGGGTCGCAGACTGTGACCAAAACTGATAGAGACTTTTGTTTATGATAAAATCAATTTTTACAAGGAGGACTAAGCCCGTTTTCTTCACTTGCTTCCAATTATCACAAAAACAGAATAAGAATTAGCACACAAAGTTGCAAAGTTGTTAAGAAGAAGATATTCGCACTTATATCTCTAAATACGTAAGACTCTCACCTTCAAGAATAAACAATGATTTATTTAATTTTCTTACTGGTGCAAAATTAAGAAAAATAAAGCGCAAAATAATAAGATTATGAACCTGTTACAATGTTTTAAATTATATGTACTGCGAAAAGAAAAGTGATAATCTTTGACTTTTATAACAATTTTTTTTATAAAGTAAATGATTATTGTCTGTTGGAGTTGAATAATTATCTGCATGATATGGAATAGTTTATAAATTTGACAAATAACTGCTATTAGTTCAATAAATTAAAATTTAACGTAAAAAGAGAGTGAAAAAAACTAATTACATTACATTAAATATAGAATTGTTGAGTAGAGGAGAAGCATTGACGATAAGAAGTTATGAAGATTGTTTTTTTGCATTCAGTTGCCTTTCTTGTCTCTGGGTGGCTATTTGACATCTCATTTTTGTTTTGTCTGAAAAATTGAAACAAGTAATTAAAATTTATCCATAATATAATTATATAAAATTTAAAATTTATATTGCAAAAAATAATAATACATAATAATATTCATGCAATGAAACGAGCCGTAAAATAAACTTACCATAAATATGTGCATGAAAATGTGTACTGTCCAATTCCATTTCCATAAGCAGCTTTTTTCATCATGGAGTAAGATCTGAAAGCAACATAAAATAAGTAAAAGTTTCAAAACTTCTTAAAAAAGATTAATATAATATATCATTTAATCGCTTTTAATTAGTAATCAAAAATTATATATTTCTTTATTTATGATTCAAACGCAAAATTACATGTATTGTATTATTTCTTGCAGTTATTATTTTGAATTGCATTCCACACTGCCTGCATGGCAATGTGGAATGCATGTCCCAAAGGGACAGACTAGTTCTAGGTACCCTAGCTAACGCAGAGCGCGCTCGGAGCGCGTCAGGTGGGAAAAATGATTGACAGGTTGGCGGTTGGTCGTTACTCATTATGCTTTCGGTAATTTAAAACCAACCCAATGATGCTTTATAAGTTGTGTGACTTAAGTCCCAAAGTTTTAAAAGTAGAAGGGAATTTTTAATTCCGAAACGTTTAACCACAACCGCATATATATAACTGAAATAATAATAAAAAGAAAAATCTGGCGTCTATAAATCCCTTTTCATTTGCTTAGGAGTCGGTCAATAATTCAAATCAAAATTTGCTGAGAATATTAAGAAATTTTATGTCAGCTTACCTTTCAACTCAGGAAATCCAGTTTGCTGGTTTTGCTGCAAAAATATCGTTTGATTTGTCGCTTGTGTATATTTGGAGTGGGCTTCTTAGTCGCTGCTTCTCCCTCGAATGAGGCGAGCAAACGCGCGGACCGTCGAGCAGCCAGCGGGGGCGGCTTTTCGGAATAAAGTACATACCTGAAGGTGGCTTGGCAACACGGCAGGGTCGCGTTCAACAAAAAAACAAACTCTTTTCGCCCTACACTCACAATCAGCTGCAGTCGCAGAGCAAACAAACTCGAACTCTTGGAAAAATATGTATCAGATTAAAAATAATCATGCTTCAATAATTTTTTTTTAATTTACTGCAAAATGCAAATTTATGAGTTTGAAGTTTGAAATATGTGTGGCAGTGAAATTGAGTTTGGAGACCTCATTTTTTTTAGCGAATCAATTTAACAATTTTCAAAAATCTTTCAGTAAATGTTTTAATTAATATTAATTAATTTAATTTCATGAATACTGGAAATGATTTTTATCATTAAACTAATTTATCGACAATTATTGGAAGTCAAACTGAAAATATGAAAAATTATTTTCTGAATCCAAAATAAGTTATTTTTGCGCATGCAAATTATAATTTAGCAAATAAGCCCATTTTATTAAAAATTGTTAAATAAACACGACATTTTTTTATTTAATTTATTTTTTGATCATATCATGCCAACAATTTTATTGTTCCGATTTTATTTTAATAAATGTGATAATTAAAACCAGTTTATTGTAAATATCTCACCTCCAGTGTAATGGAAATGGAAAAAATGAACGGCAAAATTTTTAGTATGATGAAATGTAATCCCTTTTTCAAAAATCAAAATTTTATTTTCAATAGGGACAAAGCTACAAAATTTTGAATTCTTGCTCGCGTGAAAGGAAAATCCCAACCATCACTCATAGTAAGAGCGCACCCGGTTTTTCGCGCCGCTTGAATGGGGCGTGCCAAAAGTATTAATTACTCATATCTCAACTTCTATGAAGCCAATAACCTCAAAATTTTACAGACTTATATATTTTGGCCCTGTTAACCTGCACAAATTAATTGAGGCTATTCTGTCCCAAAGCAAGCAAGATATTCAAAAAAATATAAAAATTTTAGCATGTTTAGGTTAAATTTGCATCTTTTTATTGTCAGTAATATTTTGAAAAAAATCTCCAATATCTAGCATTTATCTGCGCGTAATAATATGTGCCAAAGAAATGTGTAGCCTTTCCTGATTTTTTAAACTTAAATTCCAAATCAGAAAAAACACGACAAAAATGCACAATTATACCACCTGTTATTGAGAGAACGGCTGGCGGGAATGTTTTCAACAAAATTTTATCCGCTTTTGAATACAGACCTTCAGAATGTTCAATAGTCATTAATGTAATATATATAAAAAATCATTATTTTTGTTTTTTAAAATGACTTCTAATTTTTTTTAATAATTGAAAAATCCAGATTTAATAGATAATTTAATTTGGAATTTATTGATGTAATTCCCATAAAAATGGCTTAAATAGAACAATGGCAAATAATTAAAAACTGAATTTAATTTTAACGGCACTCCCCATATGATCTTCAAGCTGAGAGAAGAAATAAAATCTTCCTTCGCGCGGCCTCTCCTATTTTCGCTCAGTGCCCTGAAGCTATTTCTATTGTGTCCTTTGTCACTGTCATCTCTCCCTCGCTTCCTCCCCTATATATGTGGGTCAAACAAATAAAGTGCACTGCCAGCGAGCAGAATGAATGTGCGCAGCGTTGCAACCTACTCTCAGGTAGGAATTGCATCCGACCTTTCGGATGCAGCACCGCCTTGAGGTGATTTCAGGCACTTTCTCATATTATTCTGTTTTGAACAAAATAAACATTACCACCCCCGTTCCCTGATGCGCAGGCAAGACGGCAATGCACCCTTGTTATGCATGTTGCATATCTCTAAGTAAAGGTTTACTTTAAAAAAAGTTTAGATATTTATGTCAAACTTTTGATCATGTAAATTTGAACTCCAATATTTAATATAATATAAATAGCAGTGTGCACTGTTAAACGCGCACTTAGCACTGCGGAAATTAGTCAAAATCTAGATCGCGAACGTGGCAACACAAAATTATTGAGCGCACTCATATATGAATAATTGCGTCTTTTAGGACAATAAAAATAATTTCTTGATAATATTAATTTACTACAATAAAACAACTGTTTAGAAGAAATACTAAATAATACCCTTTTCTATACATTTTCCACATTTTTCTATACACACTAGAAGTAGTCACACTAATTGAGAAATTGCACAAGCGCACTTGGACATTTTGTTGTGCGTCATCATATTGGCTTCCGCATTCATATGATACTGATTTCAAGATTTTATAAGGGTAAAATATAATATTTGTTCAAATACCGCTGGAATATTTCTCTTGGAATGTGCCTAGAAGAATAGAATAAAGTTACTTTAATAGCTCAAAAAATAAGGCGTTTATAATATGTTAGTCGAAGAGGAAAATAAAATGAGAATAATTGCACTTTAATAGCCCAAAAAATAAGGTGTCTCTAACATATTTGTCGAAGAGGAGAATAAAACGAGAATAAGATGTTGACATCAGGGGCACTAGAGTAGGCAACCTGCATCACACGAAATAATACTAAAATAAGGTGGCTTTAATGACACTTTGCTAGGGACGGGTAGAAAAATAATGTCTCAGAATACTACAATAATGTTACTTTAAGCAGAGATTCTCACTATAATATGAGTATAATGCGTTGATAATTTTAATATAATAGCAGTTCGTTTTCTGGGAGAAGCCTGTTTTCCGTTTCCGTTCTTTTCGCATTCGCGTGTGAAATGTTTGCTTTGCGTAAAAGGAAAATATGTTAAGCAGGTATGAACAAATAAAATACAACCATTTCCACCATTTCCATCCACTCTATTTCGTATTGTTTTCGAATGCCAACACTTGAATTTGCAACATTCTAAACAAATTGGAAGAGAAGCGTAAAAAAGAGCTTTTCAAGGCTCAAAATTATATGAAAAGAGAAAATTAATCTTTTTTAACAGTGAATCATATCATGTTATTAATTAATTCCAATTTATCAGAATGGAAAATAAAAATTTACCATACAAGAACGTTTCCGCCGCATTTGAAAAACTTTATGGAAAATAATTGTCTTCAATAGTTAATTTTTTTTACAATTGAACCAAATTTTATTAAATTTTTATTATCACAAGGAATAAACAAAACACTTTTTTGTAACTAGTAAAGATACGTTTAAAACTAAGCCAAATATTTCATAATTTTATACAATTTTGTTCATCATTTCCGTGCGGCTCTTAAATGCATTTGACCACGCATGGCCTTTTGTCAACAACAAAAGTGTTCAATATAAAAAATTTTACAGTTCAGGATTTTTTTAACTAATTTGATTTTGATTTTAGATGTTGAGTTAGGTGAATGGATCCGTTCGGTATCTACCGTCTTTCAACATCATCTCTTCGATCGATCTTTTCTCAAAGATCACAAACATCAAAACAAAAAAACAGGTGCACGAAATTCAAGCAAGTAATAAGCAATTATGGGGCAAGAGCAACTTTGCAGTAGATGTGGCATGTTTTTGACGTGATAAATGTTCAGAAAATTTTGGAAGGGTTTCTTAAGTGGAGGTTTTATTTTATTAACAACAAAATTAATTGCATTATACCTCCTTGATTGCAAGCATAAGAAACGAAAATATTTGAGAGTCTCTGTGATTGCTGTAATTTTATTTAAATTAAAATGTAAAGATTGTTATAAAACTGATGAGAACCTTGAAGAAGTTTATTGCACTATTACATTTTGATATGCTTGATGGTGTTTCTCTCAACAAAAATAATTAAAAGTTTTTTTTATATCCTCTCGATTGACACAAGTTCGCAACCTGAATCAGCTTTGCCGCGACACCAGCAGCAATAAACTATATTTTCCTTCTTCTAAATAAACTATATATCTGAAGGAAATTACTTTCTCATAATACACGGAAAGAAAGTTTTCTCTATGAGTTATAAAAGATTGGACGGCAGAAGAAGAGGCTCTAGAGAGCACCAAAACCGGCAAGTGCTGCAAAATCCATGGAAACGGTGCCCAATCATGAGAGCGCAGCTGAAGCAACCATCCAATTACTGACTTTTGAAAGCGCGTTCAACCAGCATCGGTTCAGCGGGAAACAATTACGCTGCACTTCTCTCACAATTAGCGGTGAAAATCAGAAAAAAGACAAACAGAGCCAATTAAATTAATTGAGGGTAGAAAAACATACTGCTGAAAAAAAACTGTTTTATTTTATTTTTCAACACTAGATAGAAAGTAGAAAGATGCAAATCATTAGCTTCATATTTATAAATTGGTTGAAGTAAACATATGCGTTCATTTAAAAGATATATTCTTGTAGATTTACAGTTATGAAACATTGGACAAGCCAAGAGAGAGCTATTATTGCATTGAGAGGCATTAAAAAGTATAAAGATGAGCACAGTTTAAAAAATGTAGTTTGTGCAATAAAAAAATAATTTAAATTTTCATACAACAATCAATTGTTGTTGAACAATTCTAACATATTTTTAAAATTAAAATTTTATTTTAATAAGTAGCTTTTTGAGGAAAGATAATAATATGTTTTATCTCTAAAAAAGAATATATAAGTAAGGTTAATTACAAGTTAAATAATAATTATTTTATTTATTTTAAATAATTTCTAAGAGGACTTACAAATATTTTTTATAGAACAGCTTAAAAACACAATAGACAATAGATCAAAGGAAATTACATAATCACAACACAAAAGCTAATTGAAATATTTTCCAATTAATCAAAATGAGAACCTTCAGTACAAGTTGATGTGCCTGTTAAACTACAGCCATATTCCTTGACATGTTATGGTCGCTCGCATGCAAAATATGGCAAGCAAAATGATAAATTTTATGTTTACCTCATTCTGTCTAATGGAAAATTAATTCATCGGAGCGCGCAGCTGGTTGCGATAAAAGGAATTCCTCGGCGATTGCGTGATGGGAAAAAAAATCCGTTCACTTTTCATTAGTTGCGGTCGGGCAGGTTGCGTGTCTGGCTTCTGCAGGGGCACTGCGATCGGCGTTGGAGAGTTACTCTGCACTCGACCACTTTGGGGGATAACTAATTTGCTCTTTTGCCTGCTCATTGCGAGGTGTGCCGATTCACTTTTGCAAATGTCAGTCTGACACGTAATGAGATTTAAGCTTTGTGTTTGAGCCCCTTAATTAATGAATTTTAATAGAAATATTTAGACTGAAATTTTAAGAGCAAATGTTTTTTTTTTAATAATAATTTTCATAATTTTCTCATACTAACGAGTTGCTCTCTTTTTTTGTTTAATAGATTTTTTTTTTAAAATTATATATCAATTCCTTAGGTTATAAATGAAAATTATTAAAAAAAATTGAGGTTAACAATTTTTTAACTTGATGTAAATACTATTAATTCAGAGGAAGTTTTACTGGTGAAATGCATCTCTAAGGCATTACGTTCTTACTTTTTTTTCTTTCTATTCTGTCATTTATTGATATTCCGATGAAAAATGAAACGTCACTGATCAGCTTTTCACGTAACAATGACGTCGAGACCGTGAACGGTTGCAATGAAATTTTAATAGCGAAGCAACAACATTTATTGATTGAAACTGCCGAAGAAACGTCATCTGCTTTAGTCATCAATATTTTAGCGACCACCACCTGAAAGATGCAAAGCCACGTCCACGCCAACTTCAAAATGTCATTTTCATTAATTCCTGTAATTTGTACATTTACAGCATTATTTCCAAGTGTCATTTAAGCCTTTCTTTTCTCTCTTGACCTAGATTTGAGCAAAAAGCATACGTCCATTGAGAGGCAGCCGACGCCGATTACACAAAACGTGCGCTATTAGCGTGATTGAACTGCGAATTCAATTACATGGCACGTGCCTCTTTGCTTCACTTTGCCTTTTCCTGGCCAGTAAACAGCATTATCGTGGAAATCATTGAACAAACACACAACTTTTGCAAAGCCAGAGCTAGTGCGATTTCTTAACTTCAGCAAGCTACTATCACACACATCACACACTACAGGAAGTAATGAGATGAAGTCACAAAGAAGTGTGCTTGGAGATATAATTTTAGGGTGACTAATTTGATAATGGGCTATAAAACTGATTAAGTAATTTTACTAATAAATTTAATGATATACAAATGAAAACAGTAATCGACTCTATATAAATTCTTGAAATTATTATAATTGAATTATATTATAATGTGCCACTATGTAACTAAATATATGATTTAAGTATGGCTATTTTTTTTGTAAAACATCATATTTTAATTATTTGCTATTTTATAAAATAAATATATTGAATAAATTGAAATACATTAATATTAAACTTTAATAAAATAAAATAAAAAAATCGTAAAAAATTTAAATAAAAATAATTTTTTATGAGAAAATATTTTATAATTAAAAACAAAAATAATTTCTAATTAACAGTTACTGTAAAGTGAATTCATACAAAATAAAAACAAAACAGTAACTATCAGTAAAGTGCAACTAGCAGAGAAATTGAAGTTTATAACTATTTTATTCAGTACAAGTTATTATTTCACAAAGTAAAAACAAATGGTGTTTATGCAACTTGTGTGACATCAGAGCAAAATTGGTTGCCTAGTACAATATGTTCATTAAAATTCATCCAGAAGATCTCCTGGCCAAAAGATTTTATTGAGTACATTAGACTGTAGGAAAATAAATTAATCAAAGTAAAAAGTTCATATTTTTCAAATATCTGGCTACAAATTATTGTATGCAAATCAAATTGCATTGACATTAATTATACATTAAAAACGCTCAAAATGATAGAAATTTTCCCAAGATCAACACGTTCGCAGCTTGCTCAGCAGAATTTTGGTCCAATTTACCTGAAGTGACAATTCGAGTGGGAAGCGACGCCGGCGGCGGCAAATGACGTGCACTGAATACTATTAGCCGTGCGTCGAAGGGGTAAGTAGATGGAAAGCAATCAGAATGAAAAGGATGTGGCCCGCGCACGGCAGGAAATGGTGAAGACGTGGCGCAGAAAATTGCCGGCGAAGTGACAGAAGGAGCTGCAAAAATACCGATGTTCTCAGGAGGCGCGATTTTCCGCAGGATATTTGGCCCAGACCATGTATGCAATCGATCGACACGTGCGCGGGAGGGCAGTAAGTGTCAAACGGTGTCCTGTCCCTTTGATTTGTGCCTGCCCTTTGAAGTTGCCGACCAAAATACATATTTTCCCTGGCTGCGACCCCACGGCGACCAAAGACCGAAAATGAATCGGGGAGAGACGTTGCAAGCAGTCGGCAATGCCAAAATAACAGATCGAAAAAGGTCAAGGTCGAAAAGATGTGGACGATAAACTTGATGGAGAGAATAATAAAAAGGCAGTTTTTTATTGGAAACTAACCGATTGGGACTTTATCCATGTATTATTAATTTATTAATTTGGGGTAAGTAAATGTCTGAAATGTAAAAGGCTAAAATAGAAAAAAAAATAATTAATAAATATAAAACATATTTTAGAAAAATTTATTTTCATGAAATTTTGTGAAATGTGTCACTGTCGGTAGCATTTAAATTCAAAATTGTACGTGATTAGCTTGTTTGCGTTAGCTATAAATTCTTAGTGAAAAAATTAAAACTGAAATTAAAATTTAATTTTTAATTTAACAAATAATTTGTTTAGAGAAAAAAAACTGGAATAATGAAGTAGCAAAGAAGTGCTTTATTCTTGATTTCATCTGCAATAACGTTTCAAAAGCATTAAATTGACTTCGGTTGTTATTACTGTCAGAAACCAAACCATTTTCCTGATATTTGGAGTAATTTTACTACATCACATCAGGGTTTATGAAAGCTGATTGATCTCGTCACATAAAAAGAAGCTCAAAATTACTACTTTCGCTTCAGATAAAAATTTCTGCATCATCTATTGTTAGAAATACTACGTTGATTTGAAAAATTTCTTCTAATTCCTCACTTTCCTCACCTCCAACATATCCTAATTCCCTAAATCTTTTATTTAAATGTAAAATAAACTCCGAAATCTTTTTTCAAAAATTTATCTTATAAAACTTATATCGTTTGTTTTAAGTCTGCTTAAATCACCTAAATATGCGCTTAGAGTTCAATAAAATACAACTTTAATTACAGCTCATGGAATATTAATTTTGCAAATTAATTTAAGACGTCAATTGCAGTAATTTACGACAAAATTGCACCTTTCCACCTTCAAGGCCATCTGTAATTCACTGCCTTCATGTGAATGCAAACAAGAATTAATTTTATTTTTTTCGCAAGGTCATCAGAAGAGTGCTTGCAAATTGCGACAGGCGAAAAACGCAAAAATGGTCTCGTGCGCACACATTATCTCGAACTTAAATGTTTAAACAGTCGTGCAATGCAAAAACAGGGAGAGCAGCTCTGGGCAAGAGAAAAGGGCGAACGCCCGCGTGCAAATACGCACAGAGACACTGAAAGCAGAGCAGTGTTGATTTTCTCCCCGGCGGGCAAAAAAACTAAGTAAATAACGGTAGAGTCGCGCTAGAGAAAAGAAATTTAAGCATTTTTGTGCCTGCCCTGCCCACCGCCGCGGGCATGGCAAGAACGATACAATGAAACTGCTGAACGCGCACAATAACTTGGCACCAGCTTTTGCTCCTTTTAATTTAAAAATCTCTTTCCAAATAAGAAAAGAATAGTGAGACTTTACTCTTCTTTGTTTGGAATAAAGTAAATGCTCACTTGAATAACGATCCTTAAGCAAATGTCCAAAATATTTATTGAAGCATTTTATATTTTTGATTAAAAATTGAAATTCAATTTGAAACGCACTTCTTTTAATTGATTATATGGATGGAGTTAGCAATTGAATTAAGAAATTGAAAAAAAAGTTATTTATCAAGGTGTTAATTTTATGATTGTATAATTCAGTTTTTTCCTGAATTTTTTGAAATTTTTTTATAAAGAAGTTTAAGGAAAGAAGTGGCACTCGAGAAGATGTTCACGAGATGAAAAAATTGGACTTTATTATCTTGTTGAATAATTTTGTTTCTGAAGCTCCACCAGTTTCATTCAAGGTCTGCGGCCCAGTTTCGTGTGCAAGAAAATAAATTATTAAATCATCATGGAAAAGACTTTGAAAGTCCTGTCGCCTGTCGCGCAAACTGATAAAATAATTTGTCAATTTTAAATTTTACTTCCCAGGATTACAGTGTAGAAAGATGTACACTTAATTAAGTTTAGTAATAAATCAACAACACGCTTTTAGAACACTAAACAATTTTTGATGCAAGAATGCCTGAATTTACATCCTATTTTCAGGAAATTAATTTAATTTTAATTTACCTTTTGCTGAAAAAAAAAATAATTTATTTTATATAATTCTTTTTTACGCTTTATCATAAATTACTTCAACAGCGCACATTGTTATATTAATGTTTATTTTTATTCGCATAATCATTTATTGTGGTATGTTTTTATATTACAGAAACGATGAACCAACAAGACGTATATTAATTAATCACCACAGATCTAATCATAAAATCAATGAGAACTGGATTATATAAAAAAAATTAGTGATAATTACACATTTCCAAACGCAAGGATAATCATCACTATATTTAAGATGTTATACTAAAAATATATTAAATTTCATAATGATTTTAATATAATATAAATTGTTGTTATTCAATTTATTTAATGGATAAAAATCAATACAATGTTATAAATGATAACAATAAATTATTTGCATTTAAAATCTTTACCTTACTATCCTAACTTATTTTACTAATTATTTTTAAACTAGATTGTGTTTGAAAGAATTTATAAAAATTCCAATTTTAAAGGCAAAGAATATAAAATAATGCGCTTAGCGGTGGAATGTTGTGTTTATCGGCGGCACCCGCTAATCGCGCGGAGCTTCTGGGCGGCGGCGCGATCCGGAGCTCGGTGGTGGCGACGGTGCAGCTGCTCAGTCGCCCCGACGCTCACTGCACGAAACTCCCCTGCAAAGTGCACTCGGCTCTCGCTGCTCCGCTCGCTCCTCGCCGCAAGCAACAGGCAGCACCCCCAGCACGTGTAAATTAAGGTAAGACACACATTTCAGGCTCTTCCTGTTTTTGCAAATGGGAAAAATTGCTTTCAAATATTTTTCAAAATTAAAAACTTTAGCAATAGATTCTTCGAAAAAAAAATGCAAATAGGTCAATAGGAAAAAAAATCAAATTTTGTTTTCTTAAAATTTTCATGCAGATACTTTTCATTTGAAGTTTTTAATCGAAAGTATACCAGAATAATTTTAGAAGTTCAAATAAAAAACAAAAATACCGAAACTTAATAAGGGATTTCTAAAAATTGCAAATTGTACTCATTTGACTGACATTTTTTCACATTAGATTGTGATGCATTTGGGAAAAAAATCTTTAAACCCTAAAAGTTTTTTATTTTATTTTTGTAAAAAAAATTTTGTTCTGAAAGTTTTAAATACGATTAAAAACATAATGATAAAATTCAAATGTGAAAACTCGGAAAACTCTACATATTCATGTGCAGAGAATTTCAACTAAATCCAAAGCTTCCAAAAGCTTTCTTTCTACTGCATTAAAATTCCATAAAACTTTGTCTCTTTAGAGGAAAAAAATAAATGTAAATTCGCCACCGTAATAACCATTGAAAAACTCTCCTCATAAATAATCTCCACAACCCTAAAAGTGCCACACTGGTCAGGAATGGAACATAAATATTGACGAGTGGTCCGCGGAAGCATCTCTCGCAAAAATAAATCAGACCACCTCCCAAGCTTTTAATTTTATCACCACCACGTAAAGGCTAATTCAAAAAAAGGTTTTTTTTACGACCTCTCTAACTTTCGGTCCTTCGGCCCTAGTTCGATCGCTCCTATTTTTTTTTCTCTTCCAACAGATAAATTCAATTTTTGCGCTCATTTGCATGCAAATTGCGGACTAGGTGAAATAATTTCGCACCTCCCTTCCTGTGAATGCATCATTAATTCAGAGCCGCGTGGAGGATTTTCCCCGGCATTGTCGCACCGCAATTTTAATCCGGCGTGTGTTTGCCAACATTTTGCTGACGTCACTGGAATTAACTTTATTCAGTCTCACGAGCGGCGCAAAATCTATCGGGAATTCTGACTAATTGTTTATTTTTTCGTAAACGATCACAGGCGGAAACTTGCAATGTTTCTGTTGTTTCGTCCGGCGTGCAATTTTTTCATCAGCGGCCCATGAAACAAAACAAACGAATTTTTCATGTTTGTTTATTTGTTTGGCTGCCAGACCGAATTTTTCTGTTTTAATAAAAACGCTGCCTTCCGATGAGATTCATGTCAACAAAGGGCTTCCTCTCATCCTGCTCGCGTTTTTGCCAAGTGCTCGTTCTGCAGACGGACGTTAATTCAATATTATTGCAAGCTCAAAAGTTTGTCAGTTCTATGCCAGCTTCTATATGGAGTTCGCCAATGTAATCAAGTTTAGTTTCAAAATTCAAATGTGGCAGCGGTTCAGTAAATAATACTAAAGAAGAGACTAAGACATTTAATTTTTCTAATTTTAAAATCTAAACTGTGTTGATAAATTACTCTGTAAAAACAGATACAAATTAATTAAATAATCGATTCCCAAGTCTAGTTTCTTATTTATTTAAAGATAAATATTTTACTATTTTTAGAGTTTTGCATTTTTGTGTGTTAACTTTCACAATTAATTTTTGAATAAGCAAAATCAATGTGTGCGTGTTTTTTTTTATAAATTTAACATCCAGTAAAAAATTTAGCTGATTATAAGTATTGTATTTTATCATTTATTATTAATAAAATATTTTTTACAATGATGAAAAAGTCTGAGATCTCACTTCAGTTTTTAGTATTCAATGTTTTCTGCACGACTGATCATGATCATTGAATAGTGCATTGGGCATAAATCAGAAATTATGTGAGAGCCCCCGTTTGTATGGTCAAAGATTATCCTGATTAGTTTGAAAGCTGCCAAAGTTTGTCGTTTGACGTTGGGACTGAGACATCTGAAAATTACTAAGGGTTTCAAACTGTACCCTTTTCAGAAGTTTGGTTAATTATCCTCTCTCGAGTAATTGAATTTGGAAAAATTTTGGTGCAAAAATAAAAATTGTAGGGGTTGAAGTAATTATTGATTGTCATTCATTAAAAAATATTTGTTTCACATATAATATTAAAATCATTGCTCACAAATATTGATGAAGAATATGAACCAAAAATGAAAGTGATGAGGAATAAGTATATTAGTATTAATTATTAAGATAGTTATAAACTGCGTTGAAACCATTTAATTAAAAATAAGTAAAAGTTAGTTCCATAAATTAAAAAATTTAAAATAAAACAAATAATTTTATTCTTTTACAATTTTAAAAATTAAATAAATTTGAAAATTATAATAAAAAATATATTTAAAAATATTTAAATTAAACGAACTATTCAAATTAATTTTTAATATTCTTTCAACCTATGTATATTTTTTTAATTATTTTTATTTACACATTGCTGTTTACAACGTTTGTAAACAACTGCTTTTTTCCATCTTATTTTATATTGCGTGAAGTATTCTTCTTTATAAATTTTAAATTGATCTTCTTTTTGCTATAAAACAAAAATGACAAGATGATCAAAGTGATTTTTACCCGTAGTTCTCCGTTAATGCAGCTACAACATGATGGAGTGTGCGAAAAACAAACGTCATGAAACAACCGCGACTTTGATCCGCATATGGGCAACCGCAGAGAAAACGTGCACTTTTATCCCGGCGAGTGAATATTATTCCTCTTTGCACAGCCGTTGGTTTTTGCCCAGGCTGAGCAGAGATGAAAGCGGCTCCCTTTGCTCGGCGAGTGGCGCTGCTATTAAAAGCGCGCTTCTGTGCAACGCCTCGCAGCTTTTGGGGCGAATAAGGAGTTGGCTTCCGTATTTACATTCAAACGCAGAATGACCCTCGATTTATTTGCATCGTGCACGGCGGTGGTTTTATTAGCCCATCCAGGCAGAAATAAGTGGCAACGCGGACAGAGCTCTTTCTCTGTGGAATGAAAGCTTCTGAAGTTTTTTTTTTACAAGACTGGTCGAGTTCTTTTGCTATCACTTGAGCTATCGGGTCAAGATCGAAACTAAGAGTGGGAAATTGACATTAATTGCTTTAAAGGGTTGAAATTCTGAAAGTATATTTTTTTCCCGTGGAATAAGACATTGACATAAGACGGTTAAAATAAATGAATTGTACAAGAATTATTGTTTTTTGAGCGAGATTGATATTGGAAACGTAAAATAAGAATGAATTAGGCCATCTTCTATAAGGTACTTAAAAAACAACAGAAAAAACTTAAAATTGTATTGCTCTTTCACTTTTTATACGACAAATTCAGATATTTTTCTACTCTTAATCTACTAATTTATTTCATATCTTTTGCAAACAAATATTTTGCTTTTTGAAGTGACAATCTCAGGGAAAACGCAAAAACGACTGCGATCCTCTGAGAGATTTCCAACCTCAGCAGGTGGGCGGAACAAGAATATCGTCTCGAGCCAAATTCTCGGATTGTGAAAAGCGGCGCAGCATCCAATTTCACAGTTGGATCAAATCAGAGGTCGGCGAAATTAAATATTCGGATCGGTGGCTGCTCGGGGAAATGCAAAGTGGAAAGAAAGGCCTTTGACTCATATAACCAGTTCGAGGCGGACATAAATCTTGACTGATGAAAAAATTACTTTTTTCAGTGTCGTTCTAAATTTTATAACTGAAAATTAGAAAAATTCCAATTTGTCTCTTCATAAGTTGAGAAATATTTAGAAAAAAATCTCCAAAGAATTGATCAATTAAAAGAGTGGTTTGGACGTTTTGCAGAAACAAAGATTCATTTTTTTTTTTTTACGTTAATTGACTCCTCTTCAATAAAACTCTAAATTTGCCATCTTTAATTGAAATGCACTAATGAAATTAAAACTTTCTTCTTATACAATTAAATAAAAGGCTCACCAAAATTGCTTTCAAATGACCTTACCTGAGGCCTTCATGAGACTTTTCTATTCAGAATTTTAACCCAAAAAGAAAAAGGCCCTGTGAAAAATAATACTTTAGCACTCGATGTTACTTTTCATGCACAACCAAGAGTAGCAAATCGATTAATCGCTGTAATAAGAATCGATCAGAGTTTTCCTTCTTCTCGCACGCGTGGAGCAGCGAGAATCATATAAAAATAAAAGAAATAACAAACAACAGCCGTGTAGAGAATAAGACGGGAGAGCAGCAATAAATACAACACGTCCGTTTTATTGCAGCGAACAATAATCGGCCGCGGGGCAATCCGGCGAGCTGATTCGCGTTTCATAATAGCGTGGCGGAATTATTAAATTTGGCACCGAGTTGGAGAAGGATTTTGTTGCGAAAATTCGCTCTGCCGCTTCTTGGCTGCGAGTCAAGAAGAGACTTTCGCGTACTTCTACTGGAAGCTAATTACATCCCGCTGATTGGAGTCTGCTTTTGCGGCACTTTCACGCCAATTAAGCTTTATCTCGCGATATTAATCTGCGCCCCTCCGCCTCCGGAGTTTTGCGCTCCGGCATCGTTAATTGCCAGTTTTATAATTTAGCTTCACTCAAAAGTTTCGATGAGTATGCTGTTGTGTGTTTTTGCCATGGTTCAAATTTTAAGCGTCTTTGTTCAATTTTTCCAGTCGCTTTTAATGAGGAAAATGCTCATGTAATTCCCATCAGGAGGCTTATTGGGCGTTCGTCATGAACACTGTTCGTAGAAGTGTACACAGAATGATAAAGGTCTTTTATCAAGCTGGGAATTAAAAAAATTGTTTGTAAATACAAAAATAGTTGTTTGTAGGAAACATTTAAAAACATCAAAGGCCGCTTATTCCAAGTTAAGAATTAAATAAAAATATTTTACGAAGTGAAAAACGAGTCAAAAACGCTTATCAACATTGAAAGCTTGTGTAAAGCAGAAAGTCATTCAAATTCATTCAATTCCAGTATCTTCTCGCAGCAAATTTGGCAAACATAAGGAAGTTAATTTCATTGGAAGAGAAATAACTTTATGC